TTTTAATTTACATATTTTTGTCTTTGTTACTTATTTAGTTACACCTCTCATGCCAATAGTTTATAATATATTCATATTTACTTAACATTGAATTGTTAATTATTCACCTTTATGTTGTACAGGTAAACTACGCAATATCTAATAGACTATTCTTTGATAATAAATGATAATAAAAAAGAAGCACTAGAATAAATTTATAAATAAATAAACAATGATAAAGGTTGCAAAACACCAAAGGCTTTAATAAACAACAAATTCTTTTGGATGGTCCAAAGACTAAAATTTAAGTTTTACATGTCAAACTTTACATTTAACTCATTTAAGACTGTTGTATATAATTGTCCTTTACAGAATAAAACATTGTCATTATCTACTTTGAAATTAATAATTCTTGTACTTTTACAAATAATTTAAGTGATTTTATTATTATGAATTGTTTTTATCATTTAAAACAATAAAATTATTAAAAACATTTTTTTCCTTTAAACAAAGTTTCAGAATTTCAAAATAGAAATTTAAAGATATTCAGTACAGTTGTAATTTTAATTAGTTAAATATAGCAATAATCCAATTTAATATTGAAAATACTAAAATATATACATGTGTTAAAAAAATCAATATATTATGTAATATATTAACAATTAATTTTTTTAATTTATGGCTTAGAAGGTAATTAATTAATTCAAAATGTATTAATTTATTAAAAAATATTTGTCTAACAGAGTGAAAATTATTTCAATTAACATAAAATACCTATAAATAAAACAATATAAACACAGTATGGTTGTTTGATCAATGTAAAGGTCAAACTTAAGCTTAGGTTGTTTTTTAATTTCTGTTAAGGTTTTAGTTCTTTACAAGCATAAATAAATTTTTCGAATATTTTTGGAGTCACTCTTGCTGTAATATTTACATTATGTTGAAATGGATCTTGAGTGTACATTTTAAATTCACAAGTACCCAAAAATAATAACTTTTGGCATTCCTTATTTTCTTCATAAAACTGTTTATACCTCCATAGTTTATCTGGAAGTTGTTCTACATTTTCAAAATCTTTTTTGAGTAGTGGACAACCGGTATATGGACTTATTACAAATTTATCAAAATTAAAATTTGAATAATATTTATAGAAAAAATGTAATATGTCACCCTCACTTAGAGTTTCTTGTTTGTTAGTAATATATTCTTGTGGATTTTTTGAAAATGCACAATTCCATTGACTTACTAGAACTTCAGGAACAGATTTTTGTAAATCATGAATAGATGGCAATATTCCCATGATTTGCATAATAAATAATCCTAGCCAATAGAAAGAGTAACTAGAAAATCCGTTAGTACTAATAAGGCCAATATTTATAGCCCACATCTTTAATTTCATTAAAACTGGTTTGATACGATAGTCCATACTTAAAATTTGATTAATAAGATGAGAATTGTGAACTGCACTGACATTATTAAATGATAAATCACAATCAATACCGGTATTTTGATGAGTACATTTTATGATAGGTATTTTAGCATGAATTAAAGCGAATACCTTAATAAATACTTGACTTTGACGAAGTTTATTAGCAAACGATTTAATCACTGTTTTGGGTGGTGCTTTTGAAACTGAAAAAATATTTAAAAACAAGGAAAATATACAATTTTAGAATATATTATAATAAAAGGAGCAGTGGGCTCACAAAAGTTGAAATCTAATAAACAATATTAGTTATAGATTTGAATATTACAATCATCCATCGTTATGGCTTAATATTATTTTTTACTGTTTAAGATAAAAATATTTCATTTTACTTGATATTTCACGAAATATAAATATTACGTTATTAATTATTATAATAAATTGTAATACTAACCATAGTTTATATTAATGTCAACATCGCTATTAGAAATGTTAAGACCTGAAATTCTTGATCCATAAGGTAAGATATCTGTTATAGTTGTATTTAAAATATTAGAATTAATTAAAATTCTTTGCAATTCTAACTTGAATAATGCAACAATATCAACATCTGGTCCATAACAAATTTCTTTTGATTTAAATTTTTCTGAAACATATTAAAAAGTACATTAAACTATACAAAATAGTAAATAAAATACTATATAATATTTTCAAGTATTAAACTAATTTTAATCTTACTAGGTCTGCAATATTCTTCAGGTTTTAAATGTCTTTTTTTAGTATTGACAAGCTTATTTTCGGAACTAAAAAAAAATAAAAAATATATTAAACTAGGTAGGTATACACAATTGTTTAAGTACAGATCTCTGTCTTTTTCAATCATGTAAAATAAAACTTAATCATAGAGCTAGAAAAAAGCACATGTTTAATAGATTTATAAGCAATTATGAATTATGAAACTATTTAAATACAATTAAAATTAACATTATTAAGTAAATTTAGGTACCTGTGTTGGGATGGAGCACAGTGCTTATTCATTTTTTCTAGTTCTCATAAAATCAAAGAAATATAATCTAAAAATGTGATGTGATAGATATCTCAGTTTATATATGAATATAATTTAGGTACAATTAAAGAAATATTTTATTTTGATTGTAAGCTACAAATGATGTGGTCTATTAAACACACATAATATTTTTGTAAAAGAATTGGGCCTTGAAGTACTTCAACTTGTGATCTCGATAGGTAGTCAATACTCATTAGTTGACTGTTGATACAATTATTAACGGTATTAGATATTTTTACTGCAATATTTCGATGATAGAACATGAATTGACAAAAATTGTATTTAGTTATTACATTGTTCATTTACACATTATTACTGAGTTATCATACACTGGATGTTTAAATTTTTAAACTTACTTTAAAAAAGTAAAAACTATAATAGTATAAACAATAGTATAGAAATATTAAGCAAATGACAATAATTGTCAATAATCGCAGTCCTATCAATAATGTTACTTACAATCTCTATGCTTACAAATTTACAATATTCTAGTATACACGTGTAAATAATGGACAGACTTAGATAGGGGATCGCTGATAGGACGCCATGTGCCATCGAGTGCATAAACATATCATAGAATATATTATAGAATTATTCTGTGATACAACCCTGTATTATATATGAGATAAAGTATAAAATCTTACATCACATTTTATAATATGTCTGAGCACAGAATATTCTGTATAATCTGTATTAGAGTATTTCTGTGAATAAGGTATATGACGGTCGAAGCCTTTGGCACGAATTAAAATTTTTATTACATTAACATTGCAAGTACATTTTAATTCGTGGCCTGTGGAGCCATGCATAATGTTATAAGAATATTATATTTGATGATAGCAGCAGTGACCTTATCATCGTTATCGTTACATAATGTGTATTCATCTTAGACATATTTTATTATTTTAATACTTATTAATATGTCAATGGTATTCATCATTMATTTTTTAAATTTTGAAAAATATTCAACATGAATAGAGTACGTAGATTAATAAAATAGGCAATTTATAATATTGAAAATTTAATATTTCATATGATACGAATAACACGATATTAATTGATTTTTTTTGGTATTTATTATTTATTATTTAAATCTTGAGAAATTTCCATTTCAATGTTTTTATTGTATGGTAATATTTTGAAATATAATTTTCTTAAAATAATATTAGCATATTTTAGTACAAATTAAAATATCTTAATGCATTAATTTAAGTACAATAAGGGTATAACTTTGTTTATCTACTGACATTAAGTATTTTATTCTTATTTCTGTGTATCATGTCATCAGTAAAGGAAGTTTTCAAAATAAGTTTTCAACTTTTGGCTCAACAAACAGATAATGGTAAGAAATTATTAGGATCTTCTTTAGTTATGTATTCAGAATACTTAACAGTGGTGGCTCGTAAGGTTCACATAAGATGGAGTACAAAAAATGCATAAGATACCCATGTAAGATGGTAAAAAATATTAATTTTAAAACAATATGATTTAAATCTGTTTTTGTATTATATTTTTGATAATATAATAGCTATTAGTTTATTACTTATTGTTAATAAGTTATTAGTTAACTTGAGAGCATACTGTGGCAATTAATGGATAATCGTTTTGACGAACAACGTAACGTCGAGGCAGTAGGCATAATAAAAATAGGTTAGGTGCACACATCAAATGTGCTCTATGAAGCTACTAACCAACGTGTCGAGGCATGTTGCTAATATTTACACGGCCGCCAAAAGCACAAATATTTGTGTTTCGCGAATTATTTAATCATTTGTAGACACTTTTTAAGGTAAAAAGCGGTAAAAAATTTTTTATTATTGTGTAAATGTTTTTATTACAAACCATGTGCATAATAATCAGTTATATGTTACTATAGAAAACTAATAATTTTTAAATAATTTTTTTGGGTGGTTCACTTGCTYCTGTGCACCATATTACGAGCTGCCACCGCAGTATTTATTATGATTTTGTGAATATGAATAATAACAACAAATTAAATATYATCAAATTATTAACATTCTGAAAATGTCAAAATCTGTAAATTAAGGACCTATCATTTTACTTTAAATTGTTTTTTTGGTCAATGTTTTTAAATGTTGAGGCATTGGAATCAAAATTTATCAGAGTAGTTTCTGAATTTTAGCATTGTATACCTATAGGGAATAGGGATGCCATTTGTCCCGATTTCACCAGGACACTATCAGTTTTCACTACACAGTCCAGATATTTTTAACTTCAGGTTGGGACGTGGATTTTTATAACTTTTTTAATTTATTAGTAGGTAGTGTAAAAATATTAAATAACGTTGTTTGACATAAAACAGTATTATTTAAAATTCAGGAGAATGTAGGAGTGGAAGTATTATAGTATCCCTGCTTGTATTTTATTGCTAATGRAAACATTAAAGAATAATAGGTCCACGCTAATGGGCTTATAAGATATGGGAGCTATGGTGTTTTAAAAATTGGGACATACGTAAAGTGTGCCCAAATGATGTTTTTTTTGTAAACTGCACCCAAATTGTTATCTATATGTTGATATTCATGTTAAAAAAGTACAACTTAAGTTATGCTCCATCTGTAAAATATATAAAACTTTTGACTTATTAAAGTCACTATAATTGTGTAATTTTTCAATTATATCTTAGAAATTTTATTTCATAATAGTGGTCAAACTCCAATTGATGAATATGTATCAACAATATGATTTTTGTCCTAATATTGTACTTTATAAAATTATATTTATTTTTTAATTTTATTTCTTTCTATTAACTATTTATATTATATGGATATAACAAATTAAAGATTGTAATTTTGTTAACTTGTTTAATTTTCCAAAAATATMCCTATTCAATTTTAAAAGTTTACCTGGGTGCAGTTTACATGACACCTTTTTACTTTTGATAAAAACTTGGGCGTAGTTTACATGTATGATTTTAGGTTTACCTGTACCTTGGGTGCAGTTTACAATCGCCGAAAAATTGTAGTGATTATTATTAATTTTTCAATATGAATAATTTGTAAAAATAGTCGGAGTATGTTAATATGGATATTTATCTTTTTTAAATACTATTATCCTTAGTACATACAGTTTTATTAACATACATTTTTATAACAGTGAAACTCTTTTAAATGTTCAATTAGGTACATCAATATTTTCAAAAAAATTATCCACCTAATAATATACTTTAAAAATAGAAGGGGGGGGGGTTGATTTGAAAAACAAGAGTTTGCACTAAATTGCACCACTACAAAACACTCCTCAAATAGTAMAAAACAATTCAAAAATTTAAAATAAATTCATTATTAAAAAAAATAAATTGGGGCAAGTTGGTTGGTGAATCACTCTGTGTATATTTTYTATGTCATTATTTAAACCTTTTAATGTACCTATTTATGAATAGTATATATTTTTTGCATGTATATTWATTTAATAATTTTATTTTGACGACTTTATTAAAATTCAATATTTTCAGTTATCAAGGATTTTTTGAGGCTCACCAAAGATTTTATGGACAACGGACCAAATTCCAGTCTTTATAACAAAGCTGCAGGTATTAATAATAATATTTCGGGTAATATTTGTTTGATGTTTATAAATAATAAATAGACTTTATCTACATAGCTACAATAGCTACATACATATTATGGTTTTAATAGATATAAGATAGTATCTATGTTTTAACTTGAATGCATTAGATTTTAGCTCATTTTTAAATTAAACAAGAAAAAAAGTATAGGTTTCATAGCTTAAGTACATCTTGCCATTCTCCTTTATTGAGTCCGTAAATTATAGGTACATATTATCATGTAATATACCTACTTCCAAAATTTCACACCTTTTATTAGGTTATATGAATTATACATCACATATGATTTTAAAAKCTTTATTTAAAGTAATGAACCATTATGYAGGTACTCGAACTGTAAGTAAATTAAATTTATGAATTTGATTCACCAAATATTTAAATGCATTTTCATATTTTATGGACTGTACTAAACTAATAAAATGGCCTATTTTCAGAAATTTCATTTTTTATTTATATTGGTTACAAATATAAAAATAAATAATAAAAATATATTTTATTAAAGAAAAATTGCAGATTGATGAGGAAAAAATTGTATCAATTGTAAAAAGCATATGTCTTATGTGTGTGCAAAGCTGTAAGCATAAAGTAAGTTAACTAAGTAATAATTTGGTTTAAATATTGTACTATTGTGTAATTATTATTATTTGTTGTCTAGCTAACTGATTTGGAAATAAAAGAATCACTGACAGAATATGGTTTTAATGAAACCAAATTAGAGATGATTATATTATTTTTGGGAAACCAAAAACCCCATTTAATAGATATTTTATCATCTAGTGCATTAGTATTTCCACATTTCAAAGAACTAGAGTGGCGATTTGAAACTGATGTAAGTTGTTCAAGTTAAGTACATAGAAAATATAAAGATCAAATGAATAATATATTTTATATTTTCTTTATGAAAACAACTGTTCTCTTACATGGATATAATAACTAGTAACTACGTAGGTATATAAATTGTTTGCCATTATCATTGTTACTTTTAACAAAATTTTTTTTTTTTTTAAACCTACTAATTAAAAATAAATGATTACAACTATAAAATATGTTGTATATTTTTTACATGATATTAAAATCTAAACATGTGATATAGGACTTGAAAAAAATTAAAATATAATTAATTAAGTTTAATAAATTGAATTAAGTAGTGGTTTAATATTTTTATTAAGGGAGGGGGGTAGTGAATATGACTTTAAAATGCACTATTTGATTATTAAAAATATAATTTTTGGTTAATATTCAAAAAGGATGTACACCACCACCCAGTGGCGCCGAAGTGTTTAAAAAATACTATGACATCGTACATTCAGAGGCCCCTCTGGGGCCTGCCCCCCACCCTAATTTTTTCACAACCTAACCAAAACCAGGCCCCAGTACCTCTTGGTGGGCCCCAAGCTATAAAATCTACTGACATATGTCATTGATAAATTAGGTGATCGGCGCCACTGCCACCACCCATTTGACCACCACTGATTAAATTTTAGTGTAAGGGAGACAAAACATTATTCAGATATCCATGACTTGAGCAGTGTTATGTAGGATGCATTCTGTGTGTAGGATGTGTAATTACTAATTATATATTATTTTKGTGTGTTTGTTTAACCTGGTATCTGACTTTAATGGATTAAAATACTTTAAGAAATATACGATATACCAAAAATATACATGTAAATTTCAAAATATGCACAATAAAATATAAATTTAAAAAAAAGCCTATCATGTTTTACTATAGATAAAAAACTGTATTTTTATTATTTTAATAAAATAGAAAAAATACTAAAAAATTAGTTCATAAAATATGTGTAAAAAGCTAAGTTTGCAAAAATTATAAAAAAATAAAAAAACTAATAAACAGGAAAAGAGCAATCAAATCATAAAATAAATGTCAATGTACAATAAAAAAATTAAAACTGAATTTGTTAGTACTTTTTACTCAATTTATACTTAATATTGTACAATATTTCAAAAAAAAAAAATGAATTTTCCTTTATATGTTTACCCCTAATTATAAAAAATATAAAAATTATTGTAAAATGTGCCTGATGACTGTTAGTTCGGTATAAAAAAGATATATTGTTGAAAATTATTCATTTGTGAAGAAAATAAATGAAAAAAATATGACCTGTTACTTGTTTCTATGAGTTCAATAATTTTTTCTTTTTAAGGCAAARTTTTACTTGCTCTGTATATAAGTTATTTATTATCTATATTATAACAAAATAAACTAAAAGAAGGCCCAGAAGATAACAGCTAATATTTGTTTAGTAAATGACCTACCGTATTGGGAATTTTTTAGTATTTTAAATCAAATTAAAAATTATAAAATTATGTTATTTTATTATTATTAATAGTAAAACAAATATAAAATAATTCAGTATTAAATTAAATAATATTTAAGTCAG